TTTGAAAAGTTAGATGTATGTCGTTATCCAATGTGGATTCAATTCCCAGCCCTGAGATTAAATCTTTGGAATGCTAAAGGGATAAGTAAGATTGCTAGTGTTATTGGTCGCCCCATTGCCACGGATAAACTCACTGCGAATAGACAAAGATTGGCATATGTTAGGGTCTTAATTGAAGTAAATTTGCCTTCCACTCTACCAGATTTTATCTCTATACAAGGACCTGATGGGTTGCAATATACTCAAAAAGTGATATATGAATTGAAACCAAGATGGTGTGAGTACTGTAACAATGTTGGACATGATACAAAATTCTGTAAAAAACATCCTACTAAACAGAGATGGATTCCAAAACAAAAAGATGCAGTATCTCAACCTGGTAACCCTGTTACAGGAAATTTGAACTCAGAACATTGGAAATGATAAGGAATCTGATTCAGTTCAGGAAAATTCCAATATTGACTTGGTGCAAGGAAACTCTGGGGTTAAAAATACACCTGGTAACCTTGTAACAGGAAATTTGAGCTCTGGAAACTTTGGAAATGATAAGATATCTGATTTAGTTCAGGATATTTCAAATATTGGCTTGGTGCATAAATCTTCCTCAAATCACAGTGATGTGCATGTTGTGCAGGTCCAGACTCCTGTCCCTGGGAAAAATAAAGGAAAGGAACCTATTCAAAGACCTTGGATTCAAATACATGGAAGTAAAAGTAAGGATAAATCATTTCCAACAAATTCTTTTTCTCCTCTGGTGAATTTAACTTGTGTTCTGGACCCCTCTACCTTAGACAGAGGGGGAATGAATAAATGAATCTTTCCTTTTGGAATGTTAGGGGTTTAAATAAAATCCCTAAACAACATCTAGTAAAGCAGTACATTCATCAATATCATCTATCTTTTGTTGCTCTACTGGAAACAAAAATCAAAGAAGACAAACTGCCTGTAATAGTTAAAAAAAATTGCAGTCAACTGGAGTTATTTCTCAAATGCAAACAGATCAGGATCTGCTAGAATTTTGTTGCTGTGGGATCCAAACATTTTTAATGTACATATTACCTGCTATTCAGGACAACATATCACATGCAGAGTTATTTCTACTGATGGAAGGTTTAATAGTTGCATATCTTCAATTTATGGTTTCAACCATATGGAGATGAGAAAAGAGCTTTGGTCAGACCTATTTCAGGTTTATCAAACTATAGGAAACTCTCCTTGGCTCCTCAGTGATGATTTCAATGCTTTGCTGAGTAATGAAGAGAAACTAGGGGGAGCTTTGCTGAATGATTCTGATATTTTGGACTTCAGAACTTTCACAGAGGATTGCATACTCTCTCATCTTAAAGACTTTGGGTTGTTTTTACACTTGGAATAACAAACAAGATACTGCCACAAGAGTTTGGAGCAGATTGGATAGATCCTTAGTGAATGATTATTGGATTCAGAGTTATAATTCCAGTCTAGTTGAGTATTTACTCCCAAGTTTCTCAGATCATTCTCCAGGACTTGTTACTATATACGATGATGAAGTTCAAGGAAAAAAGCCATTTAAGTTCTTTAAGATGTGGACTAAACATCCAAATTTCCTTCCTATTGTAGCTGCAGTTTGGCAAACTCATATTGAAGGGTAGAAAATGTTCACTGTTAACTCAAAGCTTAAACTTTTGAGAGGTGCTTTGAAGGAACTCAATCAGAAGCACTTTTATAATATCAGTGATCAAGTGAATAAAGCTAGGTTGGAGGTGGAGGAAATTCAAAGAAAATTACAAGATGAGCCTCTAAACTCAGTCCTTATTAGCCAAGAAAAGTGCAGTATAGCCTCATATAACAGACTCTTGGCTTGTGAACTGTCTTTTCTCCAACAAAAAGCTAAAATTGCTTGGAGCCTGCAGGGGGATAGGTCTACAAGCTATTTTCACTCAGTTATCAAATCAAGCAGACATCATAATAGAATTATGGTTCTTTATAACAGCTCTGGTGATAGGATTACTGATGGTGAGAGTATTGCCAGTGAGCTTACATCTTTTTTCAGGAATCTCATGGGTACTGCAGTTGCTTCTCCAAAACCTGATATTAAAATCATCAAGAATGGTTACTGTCTGAATGATGATCAAGCTAGAACTTTAGCTGCTCCTGTTTCTAAAGAAGAGATAAGAAATGCTGTATTTTCTTTGTCTGACAATAAAAGTCCAGGTCCTGATGGCTTCAGCGCTTCTTTTTACAAGTCAACCTGGCATATAATTGGTGATGATGTTTCTACTGTAATAGAAGATTTCTTCAAGACTGGCAAGCTTCTGGGTGCAATTAATACCACTTCTATAACTCTAATACCAAAGGTAAATTGTCCTAAATCTCCCTCTGATTTCAGGCCAATTTCATGTTGTAATTGCATCTACAAGTTTATTTCTAAGATTCTTGCAAACAGAATCAAGCAGATACTGGGTAGTCTCGTAAATGAAGCTCAATGTGCTTTTGTAAAAGGAAGGCAAATCTCAAATAACATATTGTTAGCTCATGAACTTGTCAAAAACTATGGAAGAAAGAATATTTCTCCTAGGATTATGTTAAATATTGACATAGAGAAAGCATTTGATACAATCAATTGGAATTTCTTGGAGGATATGCTAACTGGTCCTGGCTTTCCTAAGAAGATGGTATCACGGATCACGGCGTGCATTACTTCTCCAAAATACTCTATTTCTCTCAATGGCACACTTCATGGATTTTTCAAAGGTGAAAGGGGCTTAAGGCAAGGTGATCCCCTATCCCCCTACTTGTTTATCCTCGGCATGGAATATCTTTCTAGGAGTCTTGAAAATCTGAAGCATGATAAATCTTACAAGTTCCATCCAAAATGTGGGAAATTAAAAATCTCTCATTTGATTTTTTTCTGACGACTTGTTATTGTTCAGTAGAGGGGATTTGAGTTCTATTCAATGCCTGCATAAATGCTTATCAAACTTCAGTGCTGTATCTGGCCTTGAAGCAAATCACAGCAAATGTCAGATTTTTTATGGTGGTGTAGCGGAATCAGTAAAGGCTTCTATTCAAAGTTTTATGGGGTTCCCTGAGGGTAATCTACCAATCAGATACTTGGGAGTTCCACTTATATGCAAGAAGTTATCGTATGTTGATTGTTCTCCTCTTCTAAATAAAGTCTCAAATCAATTTCAAAACTGGTGGAAAAACAGAAAGCTCTCTTTTGCTGGTAGACTGCAAATTATTAAGAGTGTCATCCTAGGCATTCAAGTATTTTGGATTTCATGCTATATCCTACCAGTAAAAGTGTTGAAAAAATTTGATGAGCTTTGCAGAAATTTTCTGTGGGGAAGATCAGAACAGGTTCTTAGACCTCCTTTGGTGGCTTGGGACAAGGTATGCACTGGTAAAATCTATGGAGGTTTGGGTATATTTTCAGCTATTTTGTGGAATATGGCTGCAGCTTTGCGGACATTATGGTGTATTCATGAAAACAAGGAAACAATGTGGATTAAATGGGTTCATGGCAACTACATCAAAAATGGAGATATCTGGCATGTGGAAAGCAAGACTGGAGATTCATGGCTATGGAAACAATTGCTAAAAATCAGAAACAAAGCAATTTTAGCCTGTGGTGGGATTGGAAACTTGAAGACAGTGATCAGCTCCTGTAACAGGAACTCCAAAATTCTTGTTTCAGGTCTGTATAATGCCTTATCTCCTGTTAACACCAAAGCTCAATGGCATGATACAGTTTGGGAGAGCTGGAATTACCCCAAGCATAATTTTATTTTGTGGTTAGCAAATCTAGACAAGCTCCTAACCCAAGATAAACTTCAAAGAAGAGGAATCATTCAGTCAAACAGTTGCAAGTTATGTTCAAAGCTCCTAACCCAAGATAAACTTCAAAGAAGAGGAATCATTCAGTCAAACAGTTGCAAGTTATGTTCAGACACTAGGCAGGAAACTCGAAATCATCTCTTTTTTTAGTGTTCTTTTTCACAGGTGGTCTGGAATGAGATAACCAACTGGCTTCAATTCAAATGGCGATCCTGTAATTGGATTATGCTCATGAATTGGTACTGCAACAATTTGAAGGGGAGAGGTTTCAAGAAAAGAATCAAAAGAATGGCTTTATCCACCACTGTCTACTGTATTTGGAAGGAGAGGAACGGGAGAATTCTCAAGCAAAATTATAGGAATCCTGAGGTGCTGATCAAAGAAATCAAGGTGGAACTGTTTACTATAATCCTAAACAGCTCCTGTCCATCTGAGCTTTAGGATTGGTTATCCTCATTATAAGTTTGTAAATTTGGCTCTAGATTAGCTTTCAGTTTTTTCTTTTAGTCAATTTGCGGTTGCTTCTAAAACATCCTGCAGTTGCTTCTAAAAGCACTCCCTTAAAAGCAAAATTAATTTTAATAAGCATGCAAAAAAAAATCAAACACCATGATAGAACAGAAACATCCTATAAAAGCAATATCGAACTAATCCTAAGTTGTTTTAAACGAGACCCCGAATATGTTGAGTTGTTTCGGAGAAAAACCTCATTTCGAACCAATACTAAGATTTGAAAATCTAATTTAGAAATATGAAGTGTTGAGGGTCTAATATAGAATCAACAAAGATTTGGGGGGTGGGGGGGGTGGGGGGTCTGATATGACAGAAACCCAATAATAAACATCCTCCTACGACAAAGTTGTTGCTAGTTACTGACCTTTAATAATAATAATAATAATAAAGAGCTAGTTGCTACGTGCCTTATTGACAACTTTCATGACATCTATTCCACAAAATTTGCCAAAAGTTTAGCATGTGTCAGCATGGCAACTTTTGGAATATTTGTCGTGTCAAAAAGATAGGCAATATAAGTGGGGATCCTCGAAGGATCTCTCTTCTTTGTTCTTTTTTCATCCGCGTTGGGCGGCACTTATCAAACAAAAGTAGAAATATCCTACTAATAAATTACAGATATGCTTGCTTTCATGTCCCAACTTTATTTATTGTCTGTGTCAGATTCCAGTAGCCTGTAAAGTTTCATTTATACCTCTATAAATATAGTGTTCATTGAGGCTATAGATTGATTCATCCACCCTCCAAGATTTGCGTGAAGTTTTTCCCCCCTTCAATTCCTCTCCTCATCGAACGAACTGCTGTTCTACAGGTAACTATGTATGCACCTCTTATGTTTTTTTGGTTTACTGTGTTTTAATCGGAAATTTTTCTGGTGGGATTCCACGGTTGATGCATGTGTTGGTCAAGATCAGATTAGCTCGTAAAATACCCACCTAATTATATTTCAACATGAATGTTTGATGAATTTGATTTGCTCATAAAATACTCACCTAATTCCGTAGGCTTGCGTTTTGAGGATGGATCCTACAAGAAGTGAAGCCAAATACGAGTGTTTGCTTTTCGGTAAGTTTTATTGCTTGCCTACATAATAGTCGATGTATCAAGCATCAGAATATTATCCGGAGTCTGCTCTGTTGGTTATATTTGTACCTAGATGCTAATTTTGGCCTAATTGTACGTGTCTTCAGACTTGGACGATACTCTGTATCCTTTGAGCTCTGGCCTCATCTTGTCTTGTCGCAAGAATATACAAGGTAAACGAAGGTCGACACAGACTTATCCTGTGATCTTTTTTCCATGATTTATCGGCAAGTTTCTTGATCTTGCACTTAGCGAATGCAGACCGAGTTCATTTGACAGTAAACTAGAGATTCCATGTTCGGAATATTGACCAAGTTAAAATTGCAGATTACATGCTGCACCATTTAAAAATTGAAGAAAGCAAAGTGCCTCAGATGTGTGTAGACTTGTACAAGGAATATGGAACCACAGGAGCCGGTCTTAAGGTAATCAACTCATTCCCATGCATATCACCACGAAAATCCGATACAACAACTAAAAATGGGAAATATCGTAATCGAAAGTTAGCACATATGGTTCTCCTATGGAACATTTGGTCTGAGTTTCTGTATTCCCGGATTCTCGATCCATAGATAAAAGTTGGATGAGATCTCGCCGTAATGCTCTAGAAACAGTGTAGCCGTTGAACTAATTTCCCTAAGTTTCTCGTCTTACAGGCATTAGGTTTTAAATTCGACGATGATGAATTTCATGCTTATGCACACGGGAGACTGCCATATGAGACTTTGAAGCCTGATCCTGTTTTGAAGAATTTACTTCTTTCGATGCCACAACGAAAAATAGTACGTTGATCTAACCCAACATTTGAATTATCCATAATTAAATAAATATGTTGATATATAAGATCAGCGCTAATGTACAAATATGTATGGTTTTTGCAGGTTTTTACCAACGCTGATAAAGCACATGCTGTGAAAGTTCTGAGTCGGCTTGGCCTTGAAGATTGTTTCGAAGGAATTATATGCTTTGAGACATTGAACCCACCTACTGAACTGAAAAATGAAGATTTTGCAGATAGTGAAGGAGCAAATGATGTAGAACCTAAAGTTCGAATTCTGTGCAAGCCATCTGTAGAAGCCATGGAAGCTGCTATTAAGATTGCAAACATCGATCCCAGGAAAACAGTAAGTGAGAACTACATTGTTTTGTTTGTTCCCACTGTCTAAGGATCGTTTTCAAATTGAAATTTTCCTGGTTGCAGCTCTTCTTTGATGACAGCGTTCGCAACATAGCAGCAGGAAAGGAAGCCGGACTTCGCACTGTCATTGTAAGCGTCCTACTGTGAAGTTCCTCTAGAATTTATTCTTCTTTCATCGAAGATTGGTTTTTCTGTTAGGATACTATAACCCGGTGGGAGTTATGACCAATGCAGCATTTTGCATGAACATTTACCAATATATACTGTAAATTATGTTCCTCGTCGACACTTTCAAGTTCATAATTGGAGTTGTTTAATGAACAATTTACCGTAAATGCAAGATGCGACGGTTGAGGTACATAATTTCACAAGTAGAGAAATTATGTAGAGAAATTGATGAAAGAAAGCATATTCAAACTTATATATGACTTGAATAAAACAAACATACAAGAACTTTTTACCTCGTTACAAGGCCTATCTAAAGAAAATCATGTACCTGCTTTGGGTGCAGGTTGGAAGGTCTGAGCATGTTCCGGGCGCAGACATGGCATTGGAGAGCATCCACAATATTAAGGAAGCAATACCTGAGATATGGGAAGGTGAACATCAGCAGGATCCAAATCTTCCTACTGCAGTCGAAACAGTTGTCCGTGCTTGAACCTATGCGGTATGTAACCTCGTTGTGGAATGAGGATAATTAAGGGGACTATGATTTATGTACCTGTAAACTTGATATAAATAACAATGGCGCTTAACTATTCTGCCGCAAGTATGAAGTATGAGTATGCTTTCTATGAGCAAAGAATACATTTAGACATCGAAACAAACGCGTACATTCTCGTTTAGCATGAAAAGTAAAACATATAACTAAACTAGGACATATTTTTGGATTTGAAAAGGCTGTAATTATAGGCTAATACGCTGAGTTTGTTTCACGAGTATAGTCAAGAAAGTAATATGATAATGTACTGAATGAGACGAGCTGTTACACCATGGGAAACGCATTAAGATTTAGTACTCTTGGTTTAGTTCTTCTCTAGGATGGCTATTTGTTCCAATTTCTTTACCGATCGTTCATCGATGAAGTGCATATTTGACACCAGGAAATAAGTAGAAAGGTAAATATGATGATTCGGATTACAAACTGGTTCTAGCAGAGAAAAAGAGGGTATGTGTGAATTTCTCTGTTGTTCTCGCCCGTGGACGTAGGTCATACTGACTGAACCACGTTAAATCCTTGTGTATTGTTCTCTGTCTCTACTGTGATTACATAGTACCGTGTTATTATCCAATTTGTATAGACATCTTCTGTATCTGTGTAGCCCCCGCTCCCGCTGCAACAGTATGAATCTTGGAAACTTTAAGATCAAGAAAAAGATCAACAATTGTTACAGAATAAATTGCTTCTGTTATCTCTTACGCCCTCCCGCTTTGAAAAGAAAAAAAAATTCAGCTTACAAGCTTGAATTGCTGAAAGAAAGATTCCTTAAAATTCTAAAATTGGAGGCTCAAGATGTTTGATTTGCACTATTGAAGTTTGCATGAGGACTAATCCAAGACAGTGAATAACAATGGACTATCAGATTTGCAAATTTCCTGAGATTCAAGAGTGCGGACTGATAGAGATATCAAATCCATCCAAAGCAGGCAACAATAGCTGGCTGATTCGGCAACATCAATTAAGGATTTGATCAAATATTGTGCTGATTGATAGAGATATCAAATCCATCCAAAGCAAGAAACAAAAACTGGCTAATTATGCACAATCAATTTAAGGATTTGGTCAAATATCATGTTGATATCTATTTATATACTTTCCTAGTTTAGATGATTCTTGCACTATTGATGTATATAAATACATGTAATTATTTCATCAATCATAACGAAAACAATTCTCCCATCCAAAGCAGGCAACAATAGCTGGCTGATTCGGCAACATCAATTAAGGATTTGATCAAATATTGTGCTGATTGATAGAGATATCAAATCCATACAAAGCAGGAAACAAAAGCTGGCTGATTATGCACAATCAATTTAAGGATTTGGTCAAATATTGTGTTGATATCTATTTATATACTTTCCTAGTTTAGATGATTCTTGCACTATTGATGAAATAATTACATGTATTTATATACATCAATAGTGCAAGAATCATCTAAACTAGGAAAGTATATAAATAGATATCAACACAATATTTGACCAAATCCTTAAATTGATTGTGCATAATCAGCCAGCTTTTGTTTCCTGCTTTGGATGGATTTGATATCTCTATCAATCAGCACAATATTTGATCAAATCCTTAATTGATGTTGCCTAATCAGCCAGTTATTGTTGCCTGCTTTGGATGGATTTGATATCTCTATCATGCCCCCGCAAGATGGACGGCCGTCGGGTAAGTCCAATCTTGGTCTGGAGAAGTTGAAATCGTTGATGAGAGAGAGGCTTAGTGAGGGCATCAGCAAGTTGATCAGCCGATGAGACATGAGCAACACGAAGCAAGCCATTTTGAACACGTTCTCGAATGAAGTGATAATCGAGAGCCGCATGCATCAACCGACGACGGATCATTGGCAAGCGGCCAAGCGTCTTTGACGTTATCTCTGTGGGACACTTGATCATGGTATTACTCTGCATCGCCAATCAACCCAAACTCTTCACGCGCCTGGGTTGATTCGGCAACATCAATCATAACGAAAACAATTCTCCCATCGTCTCCCTTCTCTTCACGGACTTCATCCATTTCCTCCAGAAAGAGTCCAAAAACATGTTGTCAGTTTATCCAACCATGGGTTCTGTTTCTCTACAGGCAACAAATGACATTATGAGCTCATTAACTCATGAAATTGTTCTCGATTTAGTAATTGGAAGGAAGTGAAAGGAAAAAAAAAATCTGAAACAAAAGTCAAGTGGCATTTTTCATCGATGTGCTTTACTGTAAAGACAATACAAAAAAAGGTATCGGTAGTCGATGCTCAAAAAAGCTAAAAAAAAAATTCATATTTTGATTTTCAGGACCCCATGCGTCACAGCCTCAGAAAAACAATCGAGGATTTTGAGCAAACAGAAAATACATGTGCATGCGAGGTGAAGTTTTTCTCGAGAATAGATCGACATACAAAACATAGCAATACAATTGTAATCTATGGAGGAAGTCATGAAAGACATGCAGAAAGATAATTCATTGTAAAGAACTTGTAAAACACATAGGGAACACAATTGATTGTAAAACTAGTCATGCACAGGTGTGAAATTAAACTGAACTAAATCAAGTCAACTAACAGTGGCTATTAGCTATAGAATTTCTTATCATTCAAAGATAAAAAGCGCTTACAGGCAAAGTTTTCATTATCAAATCTAGAGCCATATACCCTTTCCTCCAGTTCCCCACGGATCAAACGGCAATTTAATCCCCAATTTACATCCCCATTTGAATTATATTGCAAGATTCCATAACTCAAATTATATTTGCACCAAAAGAAAATGTCATTTACATTTTAGACAACCATTTTCCATACTATATGTATTGCTCATAATAATAACCTTACGATATTTATCTACATGATCATACACAGAGAAAAAAAGAGAGAGATTACTTAAAACTTCTGCCATTGCGATCTTGAAAAAAGGAGCACTGACTAAATTTGAAGTGGGCTACTTTTTCCAAGTCATTTTTTGATGATTTTTCAATGAAGGTTAACAAAAATAACAGTTGCTCCTTGGACAATTTTTAACTTTTTGAATTGGTATTGTCTAGAGGGAAAAAAATAATTATATCTTGTGAATATTTCCTACACTATAAGATTAAAAGTAGATTGTTAATTAGGTAAAATCTCGCATTTCCATGATCAAAGACCCGACCCCTCAAGCATGAAATCCTTGATAACATTGTTGGTGTTAACGAACTGCGAAACTTCTCAACACCACTTCAGGTTCTTGTTCTTAATGATAAAAAGATAAAAGATAATCACATAAAGAACGGACACAAGGATTTACATGGAAAATCAAACGGAAAAAACCACGGGTTGAGCTCAGAGCTCGGAGGATACTTCACTATATGGAATCAACAAATGGGTATAAAGCACACACGGCACACCCGACAACGCCGACTTCCACACAACCCTCACTCGTGCTCTTTGTCTATTAACTCAACACTCGAGATCTCTACAACACAAGAGACTCTCCTTCACTCTAACTCTCTATACTTTCAAGAGAAGAAGTGGAAAACTTAGATTACCCTTGTATTGCCTTTGATTACCTCTCCACAATGAGAGCATGCCTTTTTGTAGGCATTGATTAACATTTTCATCTTTCAAAATGCTTGGGAATACAAAAATCTGTCCAGATTCGGGTAGGGTATTTTGACTGATCATAACTCCATCCGTACTGCTCCGATTCCTGTGATTCAAAGCTTGGAGTAAACTATGCATGTACCTTTACAACTTTCATATAGAGTTCCGAGCCAAATAATGATTGTACCATACCCGAAAAGACCATGCAAAATTATATCTGCAAGCAGAAAATTACAGTAATAAATTTAGTTAGAAATTGAGCCAACTCCAACAATCTCCACCTTGGCGAGATATCCGACGTCACTCAAAATTGTAAGCTGCATTTTCATATACTACTTGAAGGGCAAGACACTTACAGGAGGTCTGGCAGCTTCTATCACTACAGAGGATGACACTACCATCTTATGGTACATGAGGCTTGGACACACATGTGATAAGTCTCTACGGTCATTGGCAAAACATGGGCTATTGAAAGGTGCTAAGACCTGCAAGATGGAGCTGTGTGAGCATTTTATACTTGGGAAGAAGACTAGAGTAAAGTTTGGCACTGCTATTCACAACACCTAAGGTAAATTGGATTACGTTCACACAGACGTTTGGGGTCCTTCCAAGAACACATCACTTAGTGGGGCCAACTATTTTATCACTTTTATTGATGACTATTCCAGAAAGAATTGGATATACCCTATGAAGCATAAATATGAGGTCGTGGATATTTTTGTGGAGTGGAAGAAGAAAGTGAAGCTGCAAACAGGTAGAAAGGTGAAGATTCTACGTTCAGATGACGATGGAGAGTATAAGAGTGATCCATTTCTATAGTTTTGTCGGGATCACGGCATTAGGCGACACTTCACAGTTCGAGAGACACCGTAACAGAACGGGGTGGTTGAGAGATTGAACCGTACCTTACTGGAGAAGGTGCGATGTATGATGACGCAGAGTGGATTTTCTAGATCCTTTTGGGCGAGATGTTGATTTATGCGAGCCATCTCGTGAACAGGTTATCGTGCACTGCGATACAGGGGAAGACTCCTATGGAGCATTGGTCTGGTTCGGTGGCTAGTGACTATGAGTCGCTTCGAATATTTAGGTATCCTACTTACTATCATATCAATGATGGTAAATTGAATCCGAGGGCGAGAAATATAGTCTTTGTGGGATTTAGAGAAGATGTCAAAGGCTTCAAGTTATGGGGTTCACATGAAAAGAAGATAGTTATTAGCAGAGATATCACTTTTGATGAGGTGTACATGATGAGGCCTCAAGCTCCTCAGCAGGTGGAGGAAGACCAGATTCGAGGGATATCGTAGCAGGTGGAGGATGATGTGACTCCACCCACTCCAGGTAGCATTGTATCCATTGAGGCTCCTACAGAGGTGACACTGAAAGGAGATGAGATGACAGTCGGGCATATAGAGGATACAGTGGATGGTGAGACTGAGGAGCAGGTTCATGTTCAGGAGTCCATTACAGCAAATAGACCTAGAAGGGTGATTCGTGGGCCAGCTAGATATAATAATATCATGGTCGCATATGCATTATCAGTGAAGGTCGTTGATGATATGGTTTCTTTTACATTCAGGGAGGCAGAGTCTAGCCCTGATTCGATCAGGTGGAGAGAAGCTATGGAAGAGGAGATGTGTTCTCTTCAGATGAACGATACTTGGGAACTTGCAAAGCTACCTAAGGGTAAGAAATCTATTGGTTGTAAGTGGGTATATGAGAAGAAGGAGGGATATTCTATTGGGGACATTCGATTCAAAGCCAAATTGGTTGCCAGGGATATGCACAGCTTGAGGGTATTGATTACAATGAGATATTTTCACCCATTGTGAAGCATTCGTCGATTCTGATTTTATTGGCATTGGTGACAGAGCTGAATTTAGATTTGGTCCAAATGGATTTAAGACAGTCTTTCTACACAGAGATTTAGATGAGAAGATCTACATGACACAACCCTTAGGATTCAAATCTGCATGAAAGGAAGATTTGGTGTGCAAGCTGAAGAAGTCTCTTTACGGTTTGAAGTAATCGCCACGATAGTGGCATAAGAGATTCGACAGCTTCATGATTGGCCAAGGGTACACAAGGAGCCCATATGACAGGAGCATCGGTATATTGGAGATGTACACTTCAGTCTACGGTGGCTCTCTTTACTATAGAGGCGGAGTATATGACGATGACTGAAGCTGTAAAGGAGGCTTTGTGGTTGTATAGATTGTTGGAGGACTTGGAGATTGCACAGGAGACCATTCAGGTATATTATGATAGCATGTCGGCTATCTATTTGGCGAAGAACCAGGTTTATCATGTACGCACAAAGCATATTGATGTCAGATTCCATTTTGTTCGTGACGTTTCGGATGATGGAGACGTCGTATTGGAGAAGATCCACACGAAGGACAACCATGCGGATATGTTGACCAAACTTGTTTCAGGTGTGAAATTTGATCATTGTTTGAAGCTATTGAACATTCTTCAATGTTGAGGGCCTTTGGTGGATTTAAGACAGTCTTTCTACACAGAGATTTAGATGAGAAGATCTACATGACACAACCCTTAGGATTCAAATCTGCATGAAAGGAAGATTTGGTGTGCAAGCTGAAGAAGTCTCTTTACGGTTTGAAGTAATCGCCACGATAGTGGCATAAGAGATTCGACAGCTTCATGATTGGCCAAGGGTACACAAGGAGCCCATATGACAGGAGCATCGGTATATTGGAGATGTACACTTCAGTCTACGGTGGCTCTCTTTACTATAGAGGCGGAGTATATGACGATGACTGAAGCTGTAAAGGAGGCTTTGTGGTTGTATAGATTGTTGGAGGACTTGGAGATTGCACAGGAGACCATTCAGGTATATTATGATAGCATGTCGGCTATCTATTTGGCGAAGAACCAGGTTTATCATGTACGCACAAAGCATATTGATGTCAGATTCCATTTTGTTCGTGACGTTTCGGATGATGGAGACGTCGTATTGGAGAAGATCCACACGAAGGACAACCATGCGGATATGTTGACCAAACTTGTTTCAGGTGTGAAATTTGATCATTGTTTGAAGCTATTGAACATTCTTCAATGTTGAGGGCCTTTGGAGGCTATTTGGGTAAACTATGTTCGACTTGATTCCTTGGGCAAGAGGATATGTAGGCAGTCTTTTCGATGCAGCCGGTTGGATTTGTTAATTTCGATGGAGGGAGATTGTTTGAGCTCTTTTTTTTGTTCCAGACTTGTTGTGGATTGAGTCCATTATCGTGGGTTGTTTCCACTTTGTCCTGGACGCAACAAGTGGGATATTTGGATGATTTGGTATCGGCTCAGTTTTGAAAAAAACTTCACCGAGGTGGAGATTTGAAGGATTGGCGAACGGCTGAAGAAAGCTCAGGAAAAACGACAGAAAAACTGCCAGGATGATTCAAGGTTGACCGCGAGATCAGTTGCGGTCGACCGAAAACGTGCACGAGATCTGGGAGGTCTCTGGACTTTTGGCGGTCGATCGCGACGTCACGTGCGGTCAACCGGCCAAACCCTGTAGAATTTTTGGTCTCTGTCATTGCCTTGCGGTCGATCGCAACGACCGCGACTCGGGTTTGAGCTGGGCTTTGGGTTTTTGACCCGTTTTACTGTTTGTATATTACCCTAAACATGATTAATTTGGGTTAAGTAAGGACGTTTTGAGCAGTCTTTGAGAGAGGATTGTTGTATCTAATTGTGAGAGATTGGTGGGAGATTTAAAGAGCTTTGTTTTAGGGTTTTGAGTGATTTTGTAACCCTATTTTGTATTCTGTTCATCTCTAATAGTAATAACTCCCCCCTCCTTGCCCGATGGACATAGACAACTTACCGAACCACGAAAAATTTGTTGTTTTGCTGTGATTGTGATTTGTGCTTGTGTTTAGTTGTGATCTACCCCGTTCTTGTTCGTGTGACCAGAGTTCCGCTGTGCACAACACACCTATGATTGGATATGATCAGCTTCCACATGGACTTTTTTTTTCATTCTCATTCTCATGTTAGACAACAAGAAGTTCTGCATAACATCCTATTAATGATTCATTAACGCAATTCTTCCACTTTACTAGGTTATCTTGTCAAGATCTTATGAGGATGTTTTTTCTTTTTCTTTTTTTCTGGCTTTTTTTTTGTTTTTTATTTTTTGGGGTGGGGTGGGGTGGGGGTGGTGTGTTTGGGTTAAGCTTATAGGTCATGTTAGCTTTTGCTAATTTTAGCTTTTATAATAAAAACTTTATAAAATTTGTTTGGTAGAAAAGTCATTTACTTGGTCAAGCCTAGCTTATTTAAATGACCTTATAAAATAGTTTTTTAAGAGTTGGGAAACTCTAACTGTTTAAAGTGTGGCTTAAAAGCTAGCTTATTAGAGATTACCAAACACTTGGATACGAATAAGCTTGCTTATAATCTAATTTGACCATAAAATAAGCTCTCCGAAACACCATCTATATATATCTAGTTATAGAGTAGACTCACCCTAAGATATTTCTCAAGTGGCTAAAATCTGTGGGCATATTTTTCTACAAACTGAGCAGATGTTGACATATAAATCAATTTGTATAACCATTACAGGACTCTATATGAAATCATGCCTATACAAAATCATGTGTTTATGAACTATATATCAATGGATATATATATGTCTTTGAGTTGGCTTCCCCATGCTTCATACTCACCTCTACAGAAAAAGATGCTCACAATTTTTAGCGCAATAATGCACAACTTACAAAAATTAGAGCTGACAGTTCCATTTAGTCAGTATGGTTAACTGGTTCGGGCAGTAAATTATATCGAAACATAGAGAAATTTATTTCGGAACATAGATATACATGTTACATGTTAACTTTCAAAAGATGTAAATGATATATTCTTATGGGTTTCAAAGAGGAAGATATGAGCAATCTGCTATAACTGCGCATAAAGAGATCTTGACAAGTATAGTAAGTGGAGGAGATATACACCTTTCAGCTTATGCTCCCCCATTTTCTGGCTTTCTAAAGCAATAAACAGTGAATTTATATGATTCTTGCATAGAGAGATGTGATTGTTTTACCACAATTGTGCAAAAACGAGGTGATTTAAAAACTTGATCGTGTTACAGCACAGTCTGTCATAAACTCGATATTTCCTTGAACTATCACACGACTTTTCTCTTACGGTTTTACTTTACTACTAAGAATAATTTAATTTCATCATTTTTCAGCTTTAAGATTCCTTCTCAGTCTTGGTTTTCTTTGGGATGGCTTGGCTACCTGTTCCAATTTATTTTACCCATCATTGTAGATTTACAGAAGAAATAAATATTTGATACCAGGAAATAAATAGAAAGTTAAAGATAATGATTCAGGTACCACGGTTAGTACGGAATAAATTTGCTCCTGTGGTCTATTACACCTTCTGCTCCAGGAAGAGAGAGGGGGAAAAACTCAGCTTACAAGCTTGAATTGGTGAAAGAATAAGCTTCCTTAAAATTCTAAAATTGGAGCCTCAAAATCTGTGGTTTACAATGTTGAAGTTTGCAATAGGGCCATCTTTGGGGCTCAACATCAAATCCAATATCATGTATAACAATGAATTGAGCCCCTTGTGCACAAAGATACAAGAACAAAAGCCTGAATAAGAAATAACAAAAGCTCATGCGCATCAAAAGATCACTCAGCTATCCATGGGAAGCTCGCCGCAGTTAACAATCCTACATGGAAGCCGAGGGACATCAGATCTGCTCGTTTCCTGAGATTCAAGTGTGCGGACTACATCCATTCCCTCAAGAACATGTCCAAACACAACGTGTCGTTTATCCAACCATGGGGTCTGTTTTTTACATGCAACAAATGACATGATAAGCAAATTAGCACTATGTACATACTCCAATAGTTTGAATTAAAAGATGAGCATCGCAGAGTAGTGAAGTTCAAATTGTTGGCAACTCACCTCAAAAAGCAAGATATTTGCACCAAACATATCTTTTGAGATCTATTTGATTCTAGGTGAGTAAAAGGAACAGGATTCAAGGGATGATATTGCTTTCATTTTTATTGAAAATGGTTCAATATTTCTGTCCTGTTTTTAAGAGGTTATGGCTGATTGGAAGTAAGCAAAAATAATAGAATTCAACTCATGAAGTTGGTTTTGATTTAGTAACTGAAAGGGAGTGAATGAAAAATATTAAAGATGCAACTCTAGTGACATTTTCCTTTGACAAGACTAATAAATAGTTCTACAGAGTACTGAAATATTTGTTTCCCTCTTAACGTAATGAAATTGAGTGCACCAGAGTTAGCACTTATATCTGATCCGTTATTCTTCCAGATTTGTTATGCAGTAAAAAGCAAAAGCTTAAATAAGAGGCATGGATTGCAAAGACATAGAAACTGGCTAACCTTTACTGTGCATATGAAAAATTGACTCCCATTAGTATCAGGACCTGCATTTGCCATGCTTAAGACTCCAGGACCAACATGCTTCACTGTAAAAACAATCCAGAAGTTATTAGTCATTCTAGCTAGACTCGTAATCAACATTAATAAAATGTTGATAATAATGCATCGTCTTTTGACAAGAAATAGAAATAACCATGAATAGAACAAGATGTGCAAAAAAATAGAGAAGCAAAAAGGCCGGAATTTCTTCTTGAGGTATGAAGACAGTACCATTCCTGCCTTAACTTGCATCTTCAACATGGGAACTTTTAGCTTTGATATGGTTAACTTTTAAAATAGGGTAAATGGTAATTATTAGGAAAGTTCAGTTGGAAATTAAGAGCTTTATGGGTACAGGTATTAAAAGTCGCTCATGTTCTATCAAATATTTATTTTCTCAATGGCTAAATAAGTGGGTAAAACCATGAATTTGGCTGTAGATTCCTAATGCGATCACAGAATTATTAGCCTGGGCAGATTTCTAAGGTGTTCTATAAATGCTTTAGCATCATTTCATCTTTTAAGTCAGGATTTTAATCTTTTCATGTGTTGTTCTATTTCTTACCCTTGTATTGTTTCAACCAATGTATGTTATATTTGGCTTGTTTTGTTAAATTCCGTTAAATGAACATGGGGCTGTAAGTCAATCAGAATCTGACACAATTTTGCCTACACCCTAATCCATGATCTATAAAATGGGTTGTGATTTTGGGGGAAATCTCAAAACTAGAACCAACACTCCAAACAGGTTGGAATTGGAACAAAACAATTTAGACCAGACCCAATAAAATCCATATATACCCACAATACTTGATAATAGTCCAGAAAAACTAGTTTAGTGCTCACTCTAAAGCCAAATCCAAAATCCAAAAAAGACCCAATCAATGTGATCCGTTTAATGAATGGATGGATTCGTACAAAAAATATTGACCTGAAACGATTTAAGGTGAGATTTAGATTAAGCAAGACTCTGCATCAATCTGACACACTCGTGGATGAGTCGGACTGTCGGAGCCCGGCATAATTTGAACCACTATTTGACTCAAGTTAAAAAAAGAAAAAGAGAAGGGTAGATGTACAACTTTTGCGAGAAGCAAAGAGAATTCAAAATTTTAATATTCCAGACACTATAAGCATCACCTCAGGAAAAAAAAAATCAGTATTGCGAACTAGGAGTAAACACCTATACATGTCAAGAGAAGATTTTCTAGAGAGAGAGAAATATATATAATGGTTCATTGTGCGCTCCGAAGAAAGGAATCAAGAACATGCAGCAAAATACAATAATCAGGAATGCACGATAATTCATTGCAAAAAAAATTCATACACGTTAAGAACCACAGATAATTACGAAGCTAGTTACCCTCAGGTGTGAAATTCATCTGGACTAAATCTACTACACAAAAAAGGTAGAATTATTATCTACTGAATTTCTTATTATTTGAAGAAAAGCACTTACAGACAAAATTTTCATCATCAAATCTAGAGCCATATATACTCTTTCCTCCAGTTCCCTATAAAACAAAAACATTAGTCGGTTACTGAAAATTGAATTTGTATACTGCAAGTATTCCAAAAATGAAGCAATAATATTGCTCCAAATTAAATTTCTTCAATTACATGTCGGATCATCATTTCCATAAAAGAAGCATAGCTCACAAAATTAACTTATACTATTTTTTCTAAATGATCATGCACTGCAAGTATCATTAGAGATATTAGCTAAACTTGTCTCTTATTATCTTATAAGCAATAAATGGCAAAATCTAATATCCTGGTACAGTAGTGAGAGGGAAAAATTAGGCAAAGGCAAGAACAGGCTTTGAATCTTGAAATAGGGGGAAAACACTCCAAAATATTAAGCACAAGATGAAGAATAAGACAACAATGAGTGCCCAAAGCACCTTGAGACACTCAAATCATGGGGATTGTGGTCAGCAGTTTATAAAAAGGAACCATATTCATCCTACCAACAAAAAGACTATAGTCCAGTCTTCTAATTTTCATTAATGAATGCATAAGTTGGATAACACCAAGCCTTTCTTATATAGAGGAGAAAACTCCTATAACATGTAGTTCACGCTCTTCTCATCAGAAGAAAGCGCCTCCACCAACATGCAGATTCCACTTTTCCCAACGGAAGCAAATATTTGACAGATAAACAAAGTTACAGTACAAATAGAAAATGTGGTGCCACAACTAGTTTCAAATTTAGCTACCTTTTCAAGTCCCCGTCTTACAACTATGCTTGTTATGGGTGTTAACAAGCATATCAGGTCTCAAAAACATAAAAATCAAATATCAGGAAAAGAAAGAGAAAACATTTAGAGCTTATGAATACTCTTATACTGTAAGATTAAGACCACACTGTCCCGAAGATGAAATCTCACATTTCCACGCTCAAAATCACCGCCCTGGAGCATGAAATCCTTGATAATGCGATGGAAGGAGCATCCCTTGTACCCATATCCTTTCTCTCCTGCATCGAAAAATCGAAAATTGTCCACCTATCCATTTCAAAATTAATCTCGAGAAAATGGAAATCTGAACGCTTTACCTGTACACAGGGCACGGAAGTTTTCGACAGTCATAGGGACAACATCTCCATAGAGGCCCATAACTATCCTGCCTGCAGTCTCTCCCCCAATTTCAACATCAAAGAAACACTTGTGTGTTACTTCTGCTTGCAACTCGAAAGCCTAAAATCCATAACTTGTCAAATTTTAAGTTACGGGTAATGTGAGCTTCTGAATTGATCAAATACATACTTCCATCAAGTTAAAGTTTAATCTCTAGAATACAGACATGGGGTATAAATTTCATCTTTACCTAAGCTGGTTAATAATAATAATAAATTTAAAAAAAAATCAAACTTTCTAACAGCTGAGACATTTTCACGACATGGGTCATATCAAGCGCTTACTTCTTTCTCAGTGGAGTTGGCAGCCGCTGAGCAAACCGCCCCGCTGTTTCGAAATGAATTCGATGTGGGCTGAAGAGGGTTACGGAATTGAGACGAAAGCTTCGATTTTGACAGCAGAATCCCTCGTCTCGTTGCTTGAGGAGCTAAATCACGTGGGATCTCCCGCCCAGCGGGAAGATTGAGAGCAAAACTCACCTGCAACTTCCCACAAAATCAAAAAAGAAAAGTCATTTTTTGATCTTAAAGATGTTGACTTTAGTCCCACATCGGAGAAAGAGGAGTTCACCTGCGCCGTTGACAGCGAGAAGGAAGTAGCCATGGCCAAAGGGAGAAGGAAGACGAATGGGATATATGGGAAGTTGGCAACCCAAGTGGCTGCTTTATCCTGCGCTCGAGCTGCGCACGATAGGAGCGGGAGTTAGGAGAGTGCCGTCTTCGGTTTCTCCGTTGGGTCTTCAGAATATCCGCTTGCTCTCGTCCCTTGGGTGGGGTTAACGGTTACCCGGTAGCAATCGAACCCGACCCGCAATCATGCCAACAAGGGGTCCAACTATTTACACTCCCAAACAGTAACTTTGGGAGTGTAAATGGACTAAATTGCCCTTATCTTTGTGGGTAATTAATTGCTCTGTCTTTGTGGGTAATTAATTGTTCAGTTCCATCAATGCACAATTAATTGCTCTGTCTTTTTTCGTGTCCGGTGGGTTATAAAAATTTTTTTATTTTGTTTTATTAACTAATTCCATTTTAATTGTGCATTTTAATTGTAGGATTTGGAACTATATGGTTAATTGATTTTTTATGAAAACTATTAATGATTTTTATTTGTTAAAAATGTTTGAAGTGTTATTAAAAAAATTTTTGAGAACATATATAAATGTTGGTTTAATTTTAATATAATTTGAATTTTTAAAATCGTTAATAAAATTTGTTTAAGTGTTTGAAATGTTTGAAGTGTTAGACTATAATGAAGGATAATAATAAAATTTATTAGAAAATCAAAATATTAATCTACTCAACGAAATACATCAATTATTTTTTCGATCCTAATTAATTGTTCTTTCTTCTTCTTGTTGTTGCTCGACGTTCTCCATCTTCATTGTGGAGACGGTTAAAGTGACCGATCGAGAATGCAAATTGTGCATCTAAACCATCTGCAGATTTGTCGTGATGGTCGTTCCAGTAAAATGCCTGGTTTCATATGCAACTGGAAAAAAATGTACAAATATTGAAGTTATATTCTTATATAGAAAATTAAAGTTAAAATTCAACTTCTTTATATGATCGTCGACTAGTGTAATTTTCTTACCAAAATCCAATGATCATTGCTAAGATGTCCGCACACCACCTTTCGGGTTGGAGGTCCTTGTGTTTCATCTAATATCGCTGGCAGACAAGTATTTCCTCCATGTTCACTGAATGTCATGAAAACAACATTATATGTTGTTGCAATTACGTGACCGCAATCCGGTACCGCCATCCAGTAATCATCATCCGCTGGTCCATGGTAGTGAGCAATCGATTGGATGAGATTAGTCACATTAGAACTCCTCGCACTCCTCCCACCTAAGATTCGAGCGTACAAGGCGCTTCTATTCTGTAGATCTGCTACTAAGTCTTGTCTAACTTTAACCCAATCATCTTCTGTTCCGTAAATTGCTAGAGTCACCGCTCTAAATCCACAATTTCCGTCTGCCGCTGCATTTGTGCATTGATCTATGTATTTTCTAATCTAGGGCGGGAATTCTCTCTCAAATACAGAATTCTTAAAGATGAACGTGGTGCCTTTGGAAGAAGGGGTTGACATTGGAGGCCTTGAGCACGATGTATTTGGAGAAGATGGTGATACTGGTGGCCCTGTACGTTGGGATGTGCTCATTGGACTCCCCTAGCTGTGATGCAGAGATAGAAGCAACACGTCCAGGGCCCTTTACAAATGCATAGGTTGACAATGTTAAATTGAGAATAATAAATTAGTAACTAATATAAATCATAATTTTCAAATATAGAAATTCATAAGTTATGTAGTATTACCTTTTTGTTTGGAGACTTTTTAAATCCGTACTGTTTCACAACCCTCTCCCACGCCGAAGGTACACGGAGACTAGAGAGCTTTTTACCCTTGGTTTTCTTTTTAGCAGTAGGAGGTGCAGTAATATCATAGAGAGCTTTTTACCCTTGGTTTTCTTTTTAGCAGTAGGAGGTGCAGTAATATCAGGGACTTCTTCGAATAACGCCCTCCTCACTGGATTTGGTGGAGTTGGGGATCCATCTGCGGCATCATTAGGAAATATTGGAAACTGAATATCTAACTTTTTCCAATAATCATGTATTTGATCCAACGGAATGCTATACCCATTTATGATGTAGTACTGAAGCTCATGTGCGCACGGTAGACCATGAGTTCTCCTTAGGTAGCAACCACACGTTGTTGGATCCTGACCCATTTCTTGTAAAACTTGCATTTCTTTCCTTATGAGGCCGAATGCTTTAAACGTGATTGATCTGTTCAGATTAACAAACAACGTATCTCCAAGGGTGTCTGTGTTGGATTTAGTAGCGTTAACTCTCGCTACTTTCTTAATCTCACAGATTTGGCCTTCCATCACCTTGTGAAGTTTCTCCACTACGGTATCGAATGGATACCGACCACCATCTAAATATCGTTTGACGCGATGATGTTCTCCTTCGACCCTGCATTACCAATTGAACTTGAATATTAATTATTAATGTTGACTACATGTAACGATTATTTAGTCACGTAAATCTCACAAGGCTTAAGTACCTATTTGTTGTGTAGCTTCCGAAGTGAAAATAATGGTCGATGTAAGCTGACAGGATTTTTTGGGAATGCGGACTAATCCATGTGTCAATGCAGTAGTTCAGCAATGCTCCCCAATTCGAGTAATGTGCTGCCAGACGTCCCCATCTATCATTAAAGTCATCTATGGTCGGTGCACTTATCGCCCAATTCCAACGAAATTTAAATCCTTCTGCCGCCTCTTTTAAAAAACCAGGTTGCTGCAGTGCTCGTTGTAGCACGCATTGCTCAATGTGACGGCGACACAAATGATGCCTGGATTCCGGGAAAACATACTCGACAGCATGCATCAAGGCGTAATCTCGGTCTGTTACAATGACATTAGGTGTCACTTGGCTAACGAACAAAGTACGGATAAACTGTAACACAAACCTGCAAAATAATATAACATTAATAATTTTAAATTTAAACGTAGGACAAAATAACTGTACTAAATAATTGTCAATTGTAATTTATAACAACAAATTAACATAATAACAATATTAATGACAATACTACAATAACAATGTTAATAACAATAATAATACTATAACAAGTCCTAATTAAACAATATAATAATTTTCGTAACAGTAACAACTCCTAATAATACTATAATAAGTTCTAATTAAACAATATAACAATAAAATAATAACAATATAATAGTGTTCATAAAAATAATAACTCCTAATTAAACAATACTAATCATGTTCAATAAAAATAATAACTCGTAATTAAACAATTCTAATAATGTTCATAAAAATAATAACTCCTCCTAATTAAACAATTCTAATAATGTTCATAAAAATAATTACTCCTGCTAATTCAACAATTCTAATAATGTTCATAAAAATAATAACTCCTAATTAAACAATACTAATAATGTTCAATAAAAATAGTAACTCCTAATTAAACAATTCTAATAATGTTCATAAAAATAATAACTCCTCCTAATTAAACAATTCTAATAATGTTCATAAAAATAATAACTCCTCCTAATTAAACAATTCTAATAATGTTCATAAAAATAATAACTCCTCCTAATTCAACAATTCTAATAATGTTCATAAAAATAATAACTCCTAATTAAACAATACTAATAATGTTCCAATAAAAATAATAACTCCTAATTCAACAATTCTAATAATGTTCATAAAAATAATAACTCCTCCTAATTAAACAATTCTAATAATGTTCATAAAAATAATAACTCCTAATTAAACAATACTAATAATGTTCATAACAATATTAACTCCTCCTAAATATTCAATTTAACATTATTCATAACATTGACAAACAATTGTACTAAATAATGTTAATTAACAATTTTAAATTTAAACATATGACAAAAATTAAAATTCATTAAGACACAAACCTGTAGTTTTCTTGTCTCTCATTTCGCATGAATGCGTAGGCGATAGTGAACGTTTTGTCCGTACTTGTTGCACCGACCACTTCTAGTAGAGGTATGTCATACTCATTGGTGTTGTACGTACAATCAATCATCATGACTTCCGGATATGCATTCTGTCACGCCCCGTTTCCCAAAATATTCAGGAAACGAGATGTGAACAAGTCCGCAACGTATTAGGTTGAGAAGAAATATACACCATTATAATTCTTTCTTTTTCTTTGTGTATAGGACCTAGATACCTGTGTTTGTTGACTTAGAAAAGCGAGAAGAATTGAGATGGGGAATTCCTTGTTTAGGTGATCGGATGTGATTGTTGATTATTCCATGTCACGCCCCGCTTCCCAAAATAGTCAGGAATCGGGATGTGAACAAGTCCGCGACGTATTAGGTTGAGAAGAAATATACACTATTAAATTCTTTCTTTTTCCTTCCTTCTCAATCTAATACGCTAAGCGTCAAATACGTAAATCTCAATCACAGGTCCCCGATCACAATAGCAAGAATATAAAGACAATCCAGAATAAGAAATAAACATATCATCCATAGCAAAATCATCCAGACATAAAAATATGGGTCAAACATGCCCTTATTACAAAACAGGTCCAGACAGAAATAAAATACATAGTCCATAAAAGAAAATACGGCCAAATACGAAAATCCGACATTAACTAAAGAATAAAAAGATAACTAGTTCTAATGTTCATCAGCTACTACAGAGGAAAACACATCTAGGCTTCGGTTTGCTCTTCGACTCCATCGGAAGGATACTCCGGCTCGGCATACACTGGCTCTGCTTCAACATCTAGCTGGACCTGTCCGTCTCCTAAGTCTGACGCACACCAGAGAAAACAGGTGTACGTCAGGGTGCATGGCACACGGCAAGATCTCACATGTACAGATAAAATGGTCTAACGACCCATACTATGACAATAGTAATGATGGAACATGATTCTGTAACTCTAGTAATTTAAGTGAACATTTTCTACTTTCAGAAAGTACAGAGATACTCAAGTCAATCGGTAAACTAATTCCTATGCCTGATCCATCCTGTAACAAGTCACTGGTCAATTCTCACACAAGTCATCACTCATATCACCGGATATCTGACTGTTCACAAATCCTCTACGTATACCCAATACGCCGCTACACTGGATCGGTCAGAGGGCTACACGTAATCCGTTTTTAACCTGGTTCGAACTCAAGTTAAACCCGGGTGAATATTCAATTCACGGACCAAA